AAAAAAAAAAAAAAAAAAAAAGGCTTCATCAACCTTTCTGATAAGGCTTTTCTTCATTTCTCAGTTCTTCCACTGTGTTTAGAGAACTCTAGGTGGTAGATCGCCACTTTCAAAAAAAATTCTAAATTATTAAAACCTAAAATCTGTTGTTGGAATACAATGTTTGAATACCCTGTACCACATTCCAGCCCAGGTCATCTAGCCTGTGCTTGAAAACCTCCAGTGATAGGAAATCTACAGTCTCACAAGTCAGCCTATTCTATCTTTGGTGACCTCATTTAGAGAGCTCTCACTTATATTGCTTTTTTATTTTTTGCAGTATGCGGGCCTCTCACTGTTGTGGCCTCTCCTGTTGTGGAGCACAGGCTCCGAAAGCGCAGGCTCAGTGGCCATGGCTCACGGGCCCAGCCGCTCCGCAGCATGTGGGATCTTCCAGGACCAGGGCACGGACCCGTGTCCCCTGCATCGGCAGGCGGACTCTTAACCACTGCGCCACCAGGGAAGCCCTCACTTATATTGTTTTATCTTCTCACACTGAATTGCAATTATTTGTTTACACATTTGCCTCTCCCTGCACTTCCCTTCCCTGCCAGACTTAAGACTATGAACTCCTCAAGAACAAAGTTCAGTCATCGTAATCCCCAACACCAGGCCTGGCACAGAACAGGTAATCAGTAAAGATTTGTTGAACAAATGAACAAGCAAATGAATAAAAGAACAACAAATGAACAAACACTACTTCCATCTATTATTTCTAAATCCTATATGAGGGCTACTCAGCGAAAGTCTATTGTCTCTTCAGAACTTTATGTACCTGAAATCATCTCTCAAGACTCCCCCCACCGCCCAAAATCTATTTTCTCAGTGCTAAACATTGCTAGTACTTTCAACTATACTCACAGAACACAAGTTTGTGCCTTCTTGAACCTTTCCTTTGAACTTACTTGGACTTAATATTTTTACACTACTTTCCAGTTTCTCTGCAGCCCTCCATCCAGTCCTTTCCTATGGCTTCTGCACAAGTCTTTACTCTCTTTACACTTCATAGATCCACTCAGAGGTCATTTTGTCCATCTATACCTAGCACAATAATTAGCACATTTTAAAACCTACACTATTCTAAACTATTTGTTTATAGGAAAACAAGTCCAAAATTTCAATCCTGATAGGAAAAAGAATTCTTTTTTTAAAAAATTTTTGTTGGAGTATAGTTGATTTACAATATTGTGTTAGTTTCAGGTATATAGCAAAGTGAATCAGTTATACATATATCCACTTTTTTTTTTAGATTATTTTCCCATATAGGCCATTACAGAGTATTGAGTAGAGTTTCCTGTGCTATACAGCAGGTTCTTATTAGTTATCTACTTTACATACAGTAGTGTGTATGTGTTAGTCCCAATCTCCCAGTTTATCTGTCCCCACCCTTATCCCCTGGTAACCATAAGTTTGTTGTCTACATCTGTGACTCTACTTCTGTTTTGTAAATAAGATTCATTTGTACCCTTTTTTTTAGATTCCACATATAAGCGATATTTGTCTTTCTGTGTCTGACTTACTTCACTCAGTATGATAATCTCTAGGTCCATCCATGTTGCTGCAGATGGCATTATTTTGCTCTTTTTTTACAGCTGAGTAATATTCCATTGTATGTATGTACCACATCTTCTTTATCCATTCCTCTGTTGATGGACATTTAGGTTGCGCCCATGTCCACGTTATTGTAAATAGTGCTGCAACGAACACTGAGGTGCATGTATCTTTTTTTGAATTACAGTGTTCTCCGGATGCCCAGGAGTAGGACTGCTGGGTCGTATGGTAGTTCTATTTTTAGTTTTTTTAAGGAACCTCCATACTGTTCTCCATAGTGGCTATACCAATTTACATTCCCACCAACAGTGTAGGAAGGTTCCCTTTTCTCCACACCCTCTCCGGCATTTATTGTTTGTAGATTTTTTGATGATGGCCATTCTGACCAGTGTGATGTTACCTCACTGTAGTTTTGATTTGCAAGAAATACACTCAGCTCTTGAATAACATGACCAAATATATATTAAATCTTCTAGCAATCTCTGCTGGTCAAAGATTTGGAAGGATGACAAGCCAACGCCTTCCGACAAGCTGCAGAATAAAGCTAAGCCCGAGGCCAACATTTAGAATGAAAGTTCATCAATCTTAAGTCCAGCCCAAACATGTTTATATATTTCTATATTTGCCATTGGCTAGATTTGATGGATCTAAATGTAAATCAGAAGTAGCATAGTTTAGGTCAGAATAGGTACAGCGGGGTGAGAATTACCTCAAGTATAGTCGGAAAATTCTTTGGCAGAGAGTCAGAAGACTTGAGTTCCAATCCCCACCTTTAAATTTCTGTGTGATCTTTGGCAATTTCTTTCTGCTTTTTGGACCTCCGTATTCCTGTTACGTGAGGGGGTCAGATTAGATGACCTCTAAGGTTGCTTCTGGCTTTGATGTTATGTGTATCTTAAAATCTTTGATTATCTTGGCTGTGATTTATACTTGTGGCTGTGGAATCCGGATGTGGTAAAGTAGGAAAAAGTAATTGTTGGTGAACGTACTCCTCTGAATCCCTGACTGGT